TGTGTCAAGATGAGGAGGTGTTGTGTGTAATAGTACAGGGTGTGTCAAGATGAGGTGGTGTTATGAGTGAATAGTACAGGGTGTGTCAAGATGAGGTGGTGTTATGTGTGGATAGTACAGGGTGTGTCAAGATGAGGAGGTGTTATGTGTGAATAGTATAGGGTGTGTTAAGATGAGGAGGTGTTATGTGTGGATAGTATAGGGTGTGTGCAGATGAGGTGGTGTTATGGTGAATAGTACAGGGTGTGTCAAGATGAGGAGGTGTTATGAGTGAATAGTACAGGGTGTGTCAAGATGAGGTGTTATGAGTGAATAGTACAGGGTGTGTCAAGATGAGGAGGTGTTATGAGTGAATAGTACAGGGTGTCAAGATGAGGAGGTGTTATGTGTGAATAGTACAGGGTGTGTCAAGATGAGGTGGTGTTATGTGTGAATAGTACAGGGTGTGTCAAGATGAGGAGGTGTTATGTGTGAATAGTATAGGGTGTGTCAAGATGAGGAGGTGTTATGAGTGAATAGTACAGGGTGTGTCAAGATGAGGAGGTGTTATGAGTGGATAGTACAGGGTGTCAAGATGAGGAGGTGTTATGTGTGGAATAGTACAGGGTGTGTCAAGATGAGGTGGTGTTATGTGTGAATAGTACAGGGTGTGTCAAGATGAGGAGGTGTTATGTGTGAATAGTATAGGGTGTGTCAAGATGAGGAGGTGTTATGAGTGAATAGTACAGGGTGTGTCAGATGAGGAGGTGTTATGAGTGAATAGTACAGGGTGTGTCAAGATGAGGAGGTGTTATGTGGATAGTACAGGGTGTGTCAAGATGAGGAGGTGTTATAGTGGAATGTACAGGGTGTCAAGATGATGTGTTATGTGTGAATAGTACAGGGTGTGTCAAGATGAGGAGGTGTTATGTGTGGATAGTATAGGGTGTGTCAAGATGAGGAGGTGTTATGTGTGAATAGTACAGGGTGTGTCAAGATGATGAGGTGTTATGTGTGAATAGTACAGGGTGTGTCAAGATGAGGAGGTGTATTATGAGTGAATAGTACAGGGTGTGTCAAGATGAGGAGGTGTTATGTGTGAATAGTACAGGGTGTGTCAAGATGAGGAGGTGTTATGAGTGAATAGTACAGGGTGTGTCAAGATGAGGAGGTGTTATGTGTGAATAGTACAGGGTGTGTCAAGATGAGGAGGTGTTATGAGTGAATAGTACAGGGTGTGTCAAGATGAGGAGGTGTTATGTGTGGATAGTACAGGGTGTGTTAAGATGAGGTGGTGTTATGAGTGAATAGTACAGGGTGTGTCAAGATGAGGAGGTGTTATGTGTGGATAGTATAGGGTGTGTCAAGATGAGGAGGTGTTATGTGTGAATAGTACAGGGTGTGTCAAGATGAGGAGGTGTTATGTGTGAATAGTACAGGGTGTGTCAAGATGAGGTGGTGTTATGTGTGAATAGTACAGGGTGTGTCAAGATGATGAGGTGTTGTGTGTGAATAGTACAGGGTGTGTTAAGATGAGGAGGTGTTATGTGTGAATAGTATAGGGTGTGTCAAGATGAGGAGGTGTTATGTGTGAATAGTACAGGGTGTGTCAAGATGAGGAGGTGTTATGTGTGAATAGTACAGGGTGTGTCAAGATGAGGAGGTGTTATGAGTGAATAGTACAGGGTTTGTCAAGTTGAGGCCTCACAAATACAGGGTGCATCAAGATGAGTAGGTCTTTTGTGTGACAAGTACAGGGTGTGTCAGAATGAAGAGGTCTCACAGGAGACTTATACAGGGTGTTTCAAGATAAAGAGGCCTCACAGGAATTACGTACAGGGTGTGTCAAGATGAAAAAGCCTCACAGTAGATAAGTTTAGGGTGTGTTAAGATAAAGAAACCTCACAGTAGACAAGTACAGGGTGTGTCAGGATGAAAAAAGCCTCATAAAAGAACGTAACTTTAAATCAGTTGACTAAAGTTAAGTTATAAAAAATATTATTACTGGACCTCGCACATAGATCTACTAATGATAATCAATTAATTCACTAACAAAGTAATTTCCGTTTAATGACTAAGTTTATAAATCTGGTGCCTCTTTACCTTGGTGCACCTATAGTTCACTTATCTCTACCAGGCCAAGGGGGGCCAGCGGGGTGTGGCCTGCCTGGGGACCTGTGCAACTTGGTACGAAATTTACTGAGAATATTTTCGTCTACAAAGATGAAAAAAAAAACATAAAAATTATATAAATATGCAATTAAACTGTCGAGGTAAAAAGAACCATAATGAGACACTGAGAAATTTTATCTTACAGTAGATCTGAGTTACAACTTGAATGTGGCACAGAACAGGTGGCGGACGTACGTACAGGTGTACAAATGTCAAGTTGTACAGTACTGAGATCAATCAATAAGTATGCCCTTGCAGCTGTTTATATATATATGTATATACTCATTTAATTATTTATATATTTTTATTACCTCTACACCACACACACACACACACACATATATACAGTATATATATATATATATATATATATATATATATATATATATATATATATATATATATATATATATATATATATATATATATATATATATACATAGGGAAATATGGCTACACCACAAAACTGAGAGATGCAAAGGAAAGACTTGGAGGAGAGACGACACAGACACTTGGTGGAGTGACAAGAGAGACACTTGAAGGAGAGACAACAAATACTTGGTGGAGAGATAGCCATTACATGACACTGTCTCTTTTCCCGCAGTAGTGACTCACTTTATGTCAAATGACTCACCATGACACATAACTCGCCATGACACATGACTTATTATGACACATGACTCACTGTGACACAAAACTCATTGTGACACATGACTCACTGTGACACATGACTCACCATACCACATGATTCATCATTACACATGACTCATCATGATACATGACTCATCATTACACATGACTCATCATTACACATGACTCACCATGATACATGACTCACCATGATACATGACTCACCATGATACACGACTCCTCATGATACATGACTCACCATGATACATGACTCACCATGACACATGACTCATTATGATACATGACTCATTATGATACATGACTCATTATGATACATGACTCACCATGACACATGATACCATGATACATGACTCACCATGACACATGACTCACCATGATACATGACTCACCATGATACATGACTCATTATGATACATGACTCATTATGATACATGACTCACCATGACACATGATACCATGATACATGACTCACCATGACACATGATACCATGATACATGACTCACCAAGATACATGACTCACCATGACACATGACACCATGACTCACTGTGACACACGACACATGATTCATCATTACACATCACTCACCATACCACATGACTCACCATACCACATGACTCACCATGACACATGACTCACCATTGCACATGACTCACCATTGCACATGACTCATCATGATACATGACTCACCATGACAAATGACTTCAAGTTTGACAATAATTTGGACATAAGTTGTCTCATACTTTATAAATTACATACATAAAGTGTTTGTTTTTGTTTGTTTGTTTGAATGGAATGGTGTATTTTCTTGTTTTTATTATTAAAGATAAGGTTGATAGCCGAGGCAGCAACTTGTTTACTGAATGAGGGGGTAAACACTGTAAACAAACACACTACAAAAATACAACATGACGGGAAGGTTCCTACGTTAACACACACAGATGGGAAGATCTCTCTTCCTTTCTCCTTTCATTGAGAGGTCTCTTTCATTCTATCTCCTGTTTTACAAGTTCTCCCAGGAGATCATTGAGTACTCCCTGTCTCATTTATCTCCTGTTTTATACGTCCTCCCAGGAGATCATTCACTGCTGTCCACACAAGAACTTCCGAAGTGCTGGTCTGGTCAGGTGTTCACACAGTTGACAAGTTAACTAACGTTATTCACCGATACCAAAAGATTTATGTTCAGTTGTTCCTTGGTCGTCTTATCTTGGAGCCATTCATCAACTGACGACCCAGTCCAACTCAACAACAGTACGACCATCACTTAACAACAGTACGACCATCACTAAACAACAGTATGACTATCAAGTGACACATAAGCAGGACAACTTTTGCGACACACTTTAGCAGGACGACCTTTGCTACACACTAATATTACGACCTGTTACACACACAAGCAGGACGACCTCTGTCACACACACACAAGCAAGACGACCTCTGCTACACACTACACACACAAGCTGGACGACCTCTGCTACATACACACAAGCAGGACGACCTCTGCTACACCCACACAAGCAGGACGACCTCTGTTACACCCACACAAACAGGACGACTTCTGCCACACACATACAAGTAAGTCATCTCCTCTGACGACTTATTACGACTCCAGTACATAATGTCTGTGTATATGTGAGCTTTTCTATATATTTGTGTCTATAATTGAATGTTTGTGTTTGTATACAGACGGTGAACACCACAACAATTCCGGAAGCCTCAGTCTGTCGGTGGTCACCTGGCCCTAATGACACATGGCCATTATGGCACATGGCCTTAATGACACATGACCACTAGGACACATCACCCAAATTACGCATAACCATCATGACACATGGTCCTAATGATATTAGGCCCTTATTACACATGATCCTCATGGCACATGTCCCTTATGACACATGGCCATCATAACACATGGCCATTTTGAAACAGCCATCGTGACATGTAGCCCTCATGACATAAGGCCCTTACGAGACACATGTTCCTCAAGACATATGGTCATCATGGCACATGACCCTTATGACACATGGCATCATAACACATGGCCCTTTTGAAACATAGCCATCATGACACGTAACCCTCATGACATATGGCCCTTATAAGACACATGTTCCTCGTGGCATATGGTCATAAGGACACATGATTTTCATGATACATGTTCCTCGTGGCATATGGTAATAAGGACACATGATCTTCATAATACATGTTCCTCGTGGCATATGGTCATAAGGACACATGATCTTCATGATACATGTTCCTCGTGGCATATGGTCATAAGGACACATGATCTTCATGATACATGTTCCTCGTGGCATATGGTCATAAAGACACATGATCTTCATGATACATGTTCCTCGTGGCATATGGTCATAAGGACACATGATCTTCATGATACAAGTTCCTCGTGGCATACGGTCATAAAGACACATGATCTTCATGATACATGTTCCTCGTGGCATATGGTAATAAGGACACATGATCTTCATGATACATGTTCCTCGTGGCATATGGTCATAAGGACACATGATCTTCATGATACATGTTCCTCGTGGCATACGGTCATAAAGACACATGATCTTCATGATACATGTTCCTCGTGGCATATGGTCATAAAGACACATGATCTTCATGATACATGTTCCTCGTGGCATATGGTCATAAGGACACATGATCTTCATGATACATGTTCCTCGTGGCATATGGTCATAAGGACACATGATCTTCATGATACATGTTCCTCGTGGCATACGGTCATAAGGACACATGATCTTCATGATACATGGCCCTCATAACACATGGCCCTCATAACACATGGCCCTCATAAAAGAGGACCACGGGGTAATACTCTATACTACATTACATAACGTGTTCAGTATTGCACCACAATAGTTCATTAATTCCATTATTTTATATTAATAAAACATCACAACATGATTGTCCGCTTATTATAAAAGTCACTCACTATCATTAGGTCACGCATTGTCACACTATCATTAGGTCACTCATTGTCACAACATCACTAGGTCACTCATTGTTGTTGTTCACCAGGATAATTATTGTTCAAATTTCTCGTGACTTTCATTTGTTCAGCAGAACATACAGTGTTCTTATCATCACTTCATCATGAACATCACATCACCAGTTACTTAATAGGTGACTTATTTTCATGTTATAAGTTATCTCGACTCAGTCATAAGAAGGACTGAAGTTGTACTGTGTGGTTAGTGCCGGGTGAAGGCAGGCTGAGTCAGCCTCACGTTTCCAGGACACACTGAGCACGGGCGTGGGCGACACGCGCCAAACTCACCCACTCCTGGTGTCTCGGGGCGCAGCGTAGCACGGGCTGGCCAAAACGCATCACGCCCATCACCAGGAACTCTCCCCCGCCCGCCCGTGCCCCGCACTGTAAGGGTACCTCCACACGCCCTACCAACCCGCCCTCCTGCAACACCAGGTTTGAGAACACCTCCTCCACCTGTTCTTCCTTCTTCTCCTTCTCCTCGCGGCTAGCTTCCTTTACTTTCCTGTGGGTGTGGGCGTGCCTGAACACCGGCGACGTCTGCTGGAAAAGTTTGGTGGCACGCACCGTGATGAGGGTGCGGCTGAGGCGTGCGTCGTCTACCACGCCCACTATGGTACCGCGCGCCACAAAGTCCGCCGCACAGTAGAGGTGTAGCAGTTCCTCCTGTGAGCACGGCCGACACTCTGGTAAAGGAAATAACAAACATTAAAAGAAAGTGAGAGTAAGCTTTTCACAGCCCATATATATTAAGTGTAAACAATTCACAACCTGATGATAATAAGTAAGAGTAAGCAATTCACAACCCATATATAATAATGTATAAGCCCCTGTCTCATAGACAAGTAGCCTTTATATAATATGGGGTAATTATATAATTATATCACCCCAGGTAATTTTCCTCTAGTTATGAGGTGACATGGTCAGATCACATGATGGGTAAGTCACAACCTTGAGGAGTGACTCTAGAATTGCTAGTGTCAGCTATTAGAAGCCGGCTACCGCCCCACTATCATCTCAACTCTCACGGCAACATGACGTATTATTAGAGCTCATCTAAGATAGCCTCCGTCCTCATTTAACACTCATAGCTACAGTGATTAATTATGGTCTTATACATTTGGAACTGTATAGAATATATTTTCTTAAATAATTGAACAAAAGGACCATTTGGGTTTCGCTACTAAACCCAATAAACTTTTACATATCCTAGCTCCATAACCTAATGAAGGATCTATGGTAAAGGGCTAGAATATAAAGGTGGCAGTGGTGGGATAGACCTATAACTACAAGAACCAGGCCTATAAGTTTCCCAAGAACAAGTCATAAGTGTTTTACAAAAAAAGAAAAAGCGTCACGTGCTAGCCCACACTGATTAGTCTTCAATTAGAATATGACGTCCAACGTATATGAACCACTGTTCAGCATGGCAGTGAACAGTGACATCACCCACATGACTCTGATCTATATACTGTTTACTGCTAATGAATATGATGTACCTCTTTGTGTATGAACCTCTGTCCTGCGTGGCAGTGAGAAGTGATACCACCCCCAGTGTCAAGACCTGACTGAATTACTCAGAATAGGCAAACTGTACTCCAAACTTTGTCAATAAATTTGTTAAACAAAAAAAATAAATAGTCACGTGATATACTCCAAAGTGCATTAACATATACTGTAGTGAGACGTTACATGTACATCCAAGAAGATGTACAATTCTTGTTTTATCAATAACATTTACTAAGCGAGTTTTTTATATTTTTTTTTATTGTGGCAACATTCTTGTAAAGGCAAGCTGCACCAAGTTACCGCCTCATGCTGAAAGTACATTGCGTTATATATGTAATATTCAGAAATTTTAGTGTGATTTCAAACACCGAGTTTTCAAGGTCGACTGAGGAAGAGAGCGCTCCTGCCCGTAGTGAGAGCTTTTGGAACTAGGCCTATACGATATTAAATGTAGTTTACCGAATTATTAATGATGCGATTCATGAAGTTAAGGGACTATTATTGAATTTGAAATTATTATAGATCGTTTACCAGTCTGAATGATGTTACGGGTGTCCCAAGAAAGTTATTAGTAGGCGGAAAATATGTCACGTAGGCCTAAGCTAACGCCTTGGGGAGACGCGAGGCTGGCTGGTTCTCAGTCACGCGATCGGACAGACAGGACGTCCCTGCGCGTCCGTCCACAAAAATGGTCACATGGTCTAGTCACCTGTGTTGCGCTATTGCAGTATAACATTGCAGTATAACAAGTCTCATTCGATCTCAGATAGGGGATTTGATAGGGCAGTGATTAAGTTATTAAGAGCTAACAGTGAGTTAATTTCAGGGTTTCCGTCAGAACCCACTTGATTGCGAGAGATTGACTGCGGGAGATTGACTGCCGTTTGAGACTGCCGTTGATGATTAGCGATTGTCGCAGTTGGAACGATCAGTGCAGGCTTGTCACTGGTCAGCGGAGATATCGGGATCTCTTGGAGAGAAGTTCATCAGATCGTGGTGCCATCCTGCTACAGAGGTAATGTTTTAAGTTTAGCTCATGACTGTAGGAGGACACCTTGGAGTTAAGAAGACTTGTGACAAGATCCTTAGATACTTTTATTGGCCAGGAGTAACATCTGATGAAGCACAATATTGTCGGTCTTGTTATATTTGTCAAATGGCAGCTAAGCCAAATCAAATAATCAAACCTGCAGCACTAAAGCCAATTCCTGTGGTGGGTGAACTTTTCTCCAAGGTAACCATAGCCGGTGTTGGTCCCCTCCTTAAGACAAAAAATGGTAACCAGTTTCTCTTGACTATTATGTGTGTCACTACTAGGTATCCAGAGGTAATTCACTTGCGTCGTATTACTTCCAAATCAATAATACCAGCATTCATTCACTTTTTTACCCAGTTTGGTCTTCCCAGTATGATCAAGTAAAAAATTTTACTTCTGGGATACTTCAACAAGTAATGACCACTTTAGGTGTCACTCAATATTTGGCATCTGCATACCATCCTGAAATCAAGGTGTTCTCCAGCACTTCCAACAAACGCTCAAAAGCATGCTGACAAAATTATGTTTGAGGACCACAAATGATTGGGATGAAGGAATCCCCTATGTTTTCTAATATACTACAGGACTAGCCGTGTGTGTATGTCTGTTCTGGGCAGCCAAAACGGCACAATCGTTTTTCACCAAACTTAGCGGAAAAATCGCAAAAAATTCGTAGAGTGGAACAAACCTGGTCCCATGTCGATGGTTAACAATTTTATTTACGATGGAAAACGATGCAAGTCTACGGAATTGGAGCACCCAAATTAACCATGCAAGTCTATGGACTTGGCACACCCTCATTCGCTGTACGCTGTCACGAGCGTTCAAACTCTCACAAGGGCACGAAGGGCCCGAGATCACTTGTATATGCTATTAGGAGTACAAACAAGCAAGTTAAGGATATTATCCTTATTAATTATTATTTGGTAGAGATATAAGAGGTCCTTCGAAATTATTACAAGAGGGTTGATGTAGATGACTCTTAGTGATTATGTATTAATGAAAAGTAAGTAAAGAAAGGCACAAGAGCTAGCAAAAAATAATTTGTTTGAGGCTCAGAAGAAAATGAAAAACCATTATGATAAAGACACTGTGGATAAACAGTTCCAGCCAGGAGATAAGGTGTTGCTATTTTTGCCCATTAGAAGGTTCCCACTCCAAGCTAGGAACCAAGGGCCCTTTGAAATTCTTAGTAAAGGTGATTTCAATTATGTAATAGCTACTCCTGGAAGGAGAAAACATAAGAGATTGGTGCATGTTGAAAGAGTAACACTCCAGGAAGAGTGAGATAATAAATTTGGTGGTGCCAAGAAAAAAACTGAGAATGAGGTAACGTGTGCGACTGGTGAAGATTATATAGTGAGTGATAAGGAAATCAAGTGATCTATGTACTAAGACCTCTCATTTACCACAGAAACAGCGGGTTGGTATCCAGTGTCTCCTGCATGAGTTTGAAGTTATATTTGCAGATGTGCCTCAGCCCAGTCCAATAGTCACTCATGATGTAGAGCTGATAGGAGATGCAAGTCCAGTGAAGTAGGCTCCTTATCGTGTTTCTCCCAGCAAACTGAAGATCCTGAGGGAGATCCAGTTCCTGTTACAACATGGATTGACAGAGCCCAGCAACAGATGGGAGTTCAAGCATGTGCACTGACTACAGGCGAGTTAATGTACTCACAAGTCCGACTCCTTTCGGCTACCCAGAATCGACGACATTATTGATGCTGTTGGTGATACCAGTTATGTCACCAAGCTAGAACGTCTAAAAGGGTACTACCAAGTGCCCCTTTCAGAAAATACCGAGAAGGTCTCTGCTTTTGTCACTCCAGAAGGCTTGTATCAATATACTGTTATGCATTTTGGTATGCAAAATGCCCCAGCTACTTTCCAGAGGCTGATGTCTGCTGTTACCACTGGCTTGGAAGGAGTGAGTGGCTTGGTGATCTACTTGTCGTCGTGGAGTAAGCATCTGCCTTCATTACAGGCTCTGTTTCAACGTTTGTCTGATGCCAAGCTCACTATAAACCTGGTTAAAAGTGAGTTTGGGCATGCCTGAATAATCTTCCTTGGACATGAAGTAGGCGAAGGAGCAGCAAAACCTATCATGGCTAAAGTGGAGGCCATTAATAAAATTCCTGTTCCCACAAATCGCAGGGCAGTGCAACGTTTCTTGGGCATGGCAGGCTACTACCGACGTTTCTGCTCGAACTTTTCTCAAGTAGCCGCCCCTCTGACTGATCTTGTCAGCCCAAAGAAAAACTTTGTGTGGTCTACTGCTTGTCAGACTGCCTTTGGCAAGATCCATCCCCTACTAGTTTCAGCACCGGTTCTTCATGCTCCGAAATTTCGTGTCCCTTCAGTGATGGTGGGGCTGGTGCAGTATTAGTACAGGCAGATGATAGTGAAGTTTTAAATCCAATAAGCCAGTGTTTCTCAAACTGGGGGCCAAGACCCTCAAGGGGGCCACGGCAAGATTTTAGGGGGGCCCATGGCGGGCTAGTGTAAGTAGTATATGTTTGGAGAAAATGTGGAAACTCTGATTCAACTTTTTTTTTGTTACTTTTCCTTGTTAGGGGAGAAATATTTGTTTTTTTTATTTGTCTTTTTTTGTCATTGTGTGTAATCATCCACTCTGTATCTGTGTTTTCTGGCTAAATAAACGGTTTCAATTCAATTCAAATTCAATTCAATTCAATACAAGTTCTGGCTGGTTGTCCCTCTTAAGACCCCGGTTTTTTGACAAAAAACCCGTCCCATAGAATTTTTTTAGATGGCCCCTGAGGGGGCTAGTTTATTGGGCACCCCCTTACATTCTGTGCAACGTGAAGCGCATAAGCGTTTACAGCGCCCATCTGGGAAGCATGCGGAATTCATGCTTGCCTTTATGACTCATGCATTAAGGGCGTAAAAGCTCGAAGGGTCATGGGTTTTGTCAGCAAGTTAGATAAAGTGACAGAATGATAAGTGTGTGGGGGGAAAATTCCCGGTACAATTTATCTGTTTATGGCAAAGTGTGGCAGGTCCCTAGTGCCAGGCCTGTCACTAGGAGGAGGGATATCTGGTCAGGGAAGGAAGAGGTGTTGGTAACGGCTGGGGACCTGTAGGAAGAGGTCATAGGGCAAGTGAGGATGTAGTGAGAGA